GGTATATTGTGTAGTACCAGAAAATATCCATACCTCCCCCATGGAGTGGGATTGGAATTTCAAAGGGGTGGGAAGGATCTGAGGAGGGTATATTGCGTAGTACCAGAAAATATCCATACCTCCCCCATGGAGTGAAGATGGGTATTTGCAAGTGGTGGGGAGGGTATATCCTGAAATATTCTGGTGGGAAACCCTTGGTAAGGAGTCTAGTTCCATCATTCTTCCTTTGGTAATTATGTTGTCATCATGTTTTTTGTTGTAACATGATATTGTTAGGTTTGGCAAACACACCAGCACACTATGCTGCAACAGGAGCACATGCACAGTGTATTAGTTGTCTTGTCCATCACAATGCTGACCTTGATCTACAGACATCACAGGGTCTCACTCCTTTAGACCATGCTAAAAAAGCTGGCAAAGCTACAAGTTTCCAAGATGCAGGTGAGTTGGATGGACAACAGTTATAAAGTAGTGGAGTACTGATGGGAGGATGTTAATTTGTTTATCACTGATGTTTTGCAAATGTCAATACTGTCACTGTCTTGATTAAAGTTAATTATCGTTACTATGATCATCAGCATCACTGTGTTTACCATTATCAATTATCAATATCACCACCATCAGTCATCAGCATCATCTGTCATTAGTCATCAAAATCACAATCATCACCATGAGCAGTCTTACATCATCACCATTATCATCATTATCATCAGGCATCAACACACCATCATCATCATCATCAGTCATCAACACACCATCATTATCATCAGGCATCGACACACCATCATCATCATCATCAATATCAACACGCCATCCTCATCATCAGGCATTGACAAACCATCATCATCATTAACATCCACACACCATTATCGTCATCAATATCAACATGCCATCATCATCATCATCAGGCATCAACACACCATCAGTCATCATCATCATAATAATGTTATCTTCTCAGTTACTATCAGAAATACTGACAGACTCTACAATTTTTTTTCAGTTGATAAAAAGATCTGTTGTTACTTCTGTGTTGCCAAGCAACAGAAAGTAGAGTATGATCTTGCTCACCAGCCCACCCCTGTGGAGAAGAATATTGCTGCAAGTGAGTCTGTCATATTCAAATCACCAAAGCTTCTAGGTGAAGGAAATTCAGCACGACCAGTAAGGTATTGTCATGCAGATAAATATTAATATTTTAATATTTTATCAATAAATAATAAATTATTATTAATACTGGTGGTTGAGAGTAAAAGTCCGTAAAAGTCCTTCAGGTTTTATTTTTTAGTATCTTAGTGGCTTTTGCATTCAAACATGATAGATTAAATGTAACATTATGGGTTTTATTTTTGCCAACATCAAAAATCATTTTTGCATGGTTGGAACGTGAATTCAATATCAAAACCTGAAACAACGTATGCAGGATTGATGTAAGTCAGGGCACACCAAACTCACAGATTGAATCTGATGGAAAACCCCTTGAGTCAAGGAAAAGGCCTAAAGAACTTGACTCACATGCTGCTAAATCCAGATATCAAACTCAAGACCTCATAGGTATGAAGAAAGTGCACTACCACTACACCACCCTCAGCCCCCAAAGCACCAGCACATTTTATCACAGCAGTACCCATAACACCAACGAAATATTTTCCCTATGATTCTGGCAGTGGTAAGACAAACATGGTTACCAAACCAAGTCGTCCCCAATCTGGTAGCAGCAAGACCAAAAGGCCTGTCAATCAGCCAATGAAGAAGCAATCATCGGCTGATGTTCCTAGGCGTGACCTTGCGACCAAGTATTTTGGCGAGCATCTTTTTTCATTACCTGAGGTTCTTAAGACATCTTCAGCTGGTTCTGCTGGAAAGGGAAGACGGAAGAGCAAGAAGGACAATTCTTTGCCTTAGGTACTGAAGTGGCTAGAAAAATTGGACCACTGTGAACTAACTGTATTATTGTATAGATACGAATACCATTATGTACCACCCAATGTAAATAGTGCATGTCAACTAATAAAAATGTCAGAGCTCAGTGTTCATTATCTGTGATCTACTTGTAACCCCTCCTTAAGCAAGGCTTACAAACTGGGATATAATGTTAAAGATTAGGTCTGAAAGCTTGGATTGAATTCATTTAGCAGCAGTAAGGGGGACTCGCGATCACCATTCGGAATCGCCCGGAAATTATCCGTGTTTATGCACTAGCGTCCCCCGCGGGAATTACCCGTGTTCTGTTATATGTTGCGCGAATGTTAAGATATTTGTCTTATATATGCATGAATG